AAACAATTTTTACTTTGTTGCACTTGAGATGCAACCGTCATCATATTTGAATTCTGAACTGGAGATCTGATCCTCCTCACATCATGACACAAGGACTCAGTAGCAGGTCTCTTAGAATGTCAAATGTGAGGTGTGGAATGGAACTAATAAACTCCTTCAATGTCAAAAAGAACAGATCTCCCAGACTCCTAAAATGCCTTAAAATTGGCTCATTCTGCACTTCAGTTTTACTCTTGGCAAGAACACAAACTTAAAAAAAGTTATCTTTGAAATGGACAAAATAAGAAATGTGTGGATTCTGAAGGTATTTTAAGGATAAATGTCCTTTCAAATGAAAGTTTTAGGTAGGGTTTTAAGGGAAAGGTAGCAGCTAATTAGTTTCTCAACATTTTGACACACAAGGTCAAATATCAGAAGGGCTATTTTCTTATACTATCTTATGAAAAGCATTTTATGCCTTTGGGTAGTATTACCTGAATATATCTAGTTAATGTTGGTATCTTGACTAAGAACATTTGACATTGAATTTCGACTAAGAGATAGTAGAAGGTATATAGGATTGACCTCTTTCTTCTGACTCCCACCCCATACTCTCCATTCCCAAAGGGTAATCTCTTCATCTATCAGGAAAGATAAAATTAAAAATATAAGCAGATAAAGCTATTATGAGATTCATTGTAATTTCAGAACTGCAAATGGCTTTATTTGTATTACATTTCTAAGTGTCATATTCATCTTTAAAAAAATTAATATTGATTATTTTGAAAAAATATAATAATTCATAAACTGATTCAGCCTGGTAAGTGCTAGGTACTATTCCAGGTACTGCTGATGCAGAAGGAAAAAAATAAAGCCCCTCCTATTCTAAAGCTTCTTTATGGTACTAGAGACAAAATAAATATAGACCACATATCACATAATGATGTCTTAATAAAGAAAAATTAGATGAGGGGTGGGTGAAGGATAAGAAACTCAAAGGAGAGTCTTTAGATGCTGTGGTCAAGGAAGACTTACTTAGGAAAGTGACAGTTGAGAAGAGAATTTTTCATTCATTCACTTGACAAATATCTATTGCACACTCAATAGGTGTAGGTCACTGCTTGTAACTGTGGGGTTGAGTTGAGAGGTCAGAAGAGGGAAATATTTCTTTCAACTCTATTAAGGAAGCCCACAGGAACAAGAAGGGACTTAAAGAACAGGTATCTGGGTAGGTAGATGTAGATATGTGTGTGAAAGGAAATCCACAGACAGATGGGAGAGCACACCTCAAATGAAAACAAAGTAGCTACAAATGTGCAGAGTACCTAGAGAACAATAAGAATATTGTTTGCATTGAATAAGAATGTGTGCTTCAGAAACTTAGCCTCTGAATACCCCTAACACTTCAAAGCACCTCCTGCAAGCAAGACATATATTTGAAATCTTGTATTCTATCTTTTAAATCCAGGTGAATTTTGCATTCTGTTACATTAATTCATCTATCCTTATTTTAAAATGAAAATATTTTCTCCAAATTCTGTTAGTAAAGTTAGGAAGGTATACCATATTTATCCTGTGGTTTCCAGTAGCCCCGTCAAATATTAACTGGGCATTCCCATTTTACTTTGAAAAGCAAGGATAGAAGAAAAGAGAGAAACAATTTAAAAAAAAAAGTAGATTGGACCTGAGCAGAACTGGGTCTTGAATAACAGGCCCACACATTTGAATTTTGCCATGTAGGAAATGGAAAACTCATAAATGTTTTTTTAACAGGGCACTAGCCTTATTTGAGAATGCTGTTTTCTCTGCCTAGAGTGCCTTTCTCTTCTAATCCTACCCATCTTTTGTAGTCCAGCTCAAGTATGACCCCTCACTCAGCTTTCTGTGGTTTCTACACCTGGACTTCTATGGCAATAGATCAGTACTTCCTGGGCATTTACCACATTACACTTTGCATTTTAGTCATTTTGTGCTCACGGCTCTATCTCCTGCAGCACCAGGAATAGGGACTTCCACGTAAAGACAAGAAATGCTTCTATAAAGAATGCATATGAAGAGCTCCCAAATGGAATGATTAATGTGACAGCAGAATGAAGAACGATAGAGATGGGTAGAGAGAGGCAGCACAAGTGGTTAAAAGACTGTTAAAATCGTTCAACCATGAGGTAGTGACCACTGAACTAGGAAGCTGTCATTGGCTGTTTAATATAAAAAATGAAGGAATGAATATGTAAAATATTGCAGAGGTAGAATTTAAGTATCTGATTTAACTGGGGAAGAGAAAGACATGCAGGAGGCTGAAATGCTGTTCTATTAACCAAACTAGGGAATTTAGGACAGAGGCCTTGTGTGGAACGAAGATGGTAAATTTGGATTTTCAATATGTTGCTGATGGGAGAATTATATGGAACTGGCAACTGGCAAGTGGGAACTACTCAACACTGGAAGAAGTTATGAAGATAAATTTAAGAGCCATTGCATAAAGGCAAAATTGGAACTTATGGTTGTATATGGAATCCCTGGAGAAGCCCTTCTGTCTAGAGAAAGGGGAGAGGAGGAACTATAGTAAGGCATGCCTGTATGCAAAGGAGGTGAGAAAGGATGGAAGGTAAAATAGAGAATTGGGAAAGAAAAGGAGATCAGGAAAGCAGGAAGAGAAGCAGAGTGTACTGGCAACAGAAGAATTTCCAGGAGGAGGAGAAAGTCACATCCTCCAGAGAGTGAGGGGTTCCACCGCTAGGGAAATTGGGAGACATTCAGAGTGGTGAGAAGAGAAGCAGGATTTCCAGGAGAGGATGAGAGAATGAGGGTAAAGACACCAAGCCTGTGGTTAAAGTGCTGGTTTGAGACATGTGGCCTTAGAAGGGAAGGGTTTAGCATAGTCTGGTCATCAGAGCTTAAATCAAGTGGAAACACAGTGTTATTGATAACCCCACAATTTGATTTTTATGTTCCTCCTTTCCCCACCAGGCACTAGACTTTTCATTCTCTTTGCATCCTGTCAAATTCATCAGCAGTACCCCAAGATACTTACCTTGAACAGAAAACTATGATTTCTGTTCAAAATGTCTGTCCTGTGTTCCATTTCTTTAAGTGGCATTTTCCATGTGTGTTCTACAAATGTGATACTTCAAGGTGCTATATGAGAAAGGAATTTGTGGTCAAGTAAGTCTGGAAAATGCCAGAGGGAATGTCCTGGAAATGCTGGTGAAAAGAAAGCTTATTAATTTTGTTTACAGAACAAAATATTATTTCTGCATAGATCTCTTCCCTTTTTTATTGTGACTATCACAAAACTCTTAGTGGTTCCACAATACCCATATGGGGAAAGTTTGCTTTAGGGTCTTGATGATGGATAATTAACCCGATCAATGCATACATGTTTGGTGCTAATGATTATAAAAGGATAATTAACTTTTGCATGTTAAATATTCACAATTTACCAGAAAATTAAAAAAAAAAAGAATCCAAAAGAAATTTCAGTGTAGGAAGTTCAGTATTATGGATGACAGGTGGGGTGAAAATTTTGGGTAGTACATTCTTTTAGGCCTTTCAAGTCACACCACCCAAATGATGGCTATTCAATACAGACATCACTTTTAGATCCACCGCTAAATTCTATATTCTTTTTATTAGGACTATTACTGTGTTTCGACCTCAGAACTTCAATCAATTTCTCATCCAGCCTGAAAAATGGAAAGGAGGAGCACAGCACAGTGATGATATCTTGTGTGCTGCGTTTTTACCTCCACAAACTCTTGTTACAGGTTAATTGAATCCTTACTTGGCAATCAGTTGTGAAAGTTTGGTTTCTTCAGACTCATTCACTTTAAAAAGCCTCTTCTCAGCTGCAAAATGAATAGGTTCCCTGCAGAATCAGCCCTTGCCCTTGAAGCTACTCTTGGTCTTTATTTCAAGGGCAATACATTAGTGGTTATCATCGTCAGCTCTTGAGCCTGGCTACCTGGCTTCAGATTCTGGTTCTACCACTTGCCACTGCGACAGATTGAATAAGTTACTTAAACTTGAAATCACAGTTTTCTCTGGCTACTAATAATACATCAATATCTGAGTTTATAGTGAAAATTGAGTAAGAGAGTATGTGTAAGGCACACAGTGCTTGGCTCACAGTAAGCTTATCAGTTAATGTAGCTTTTATTTTGTTCTTTTTCCAGGATCAGCATTAGGGCTGTTGGGCACAAAGCACACTTCTGTGCCATGCAAGTGTTTCATAATGGAAACATATTAACCATTTAGTCTAAGTACTAGACATTATTTAGACAATTTAGTCTAAGTAATGTTGATGAAAGACTGGCTTCATGAAATGTCTACAAATCCAAGTTCTTGGAAGGATCGATGGGCATACTTTGATGTAACATAATAAAGAGGATCAGAAATTGTATCATTTCTGGCCAAAGAAAATAATTTTTAAAGACAGATTGCACCATAAAGTTAGAGAGTCATATTTTGGCAGCCTAAATACTTTTATAACACCAAAAATGCCATCAATTAAGAGGACTGAAAACTTACAGGAAAAATTTCAGGACATATATGACATATTACAACATGAAGTTTACTTTTCTATCTACACTTAAATTTCTAGAGTTTTCAGGACTTACCTGATTACTTTCCCATAGGGCCAACTCTGTAGCTGAATTTGCTTTATAGATGCTGCAAGTCCACCCTTGCAGAGAGTATCATATACTGATATTGATGGAGACAAATAACGTGTATGATTGTGTAGTTGTTATTGTGAAAGTGTCATAAAATACCATTGTAATTGGTGAATAGACAATCTCTTCATTCTTTCTCTTTGCATCAGTCCTATGTAAAAATTTTGGTCAAGTACTTTACAAGCAAGGCATATCAAAATCACAGAAGATGGATACTCCCATGTGTAACTAATCCGTGGAAATCCATCATCCTTGGCCAATTTGTGAGTTACACAGGTTGCTTTCTCCAGGACAATACAGAATTCAGTATGTATTACAGTCCTCTCTCTCCAGATCCCAAGAAAGACACCATCTGTACCTCCCATCCAAATTCAGCTCCACTTCTGCCCTCTACTTGACACTGACACTCCTCGAAGTAGGGAGCTGTTCTCACTGAGCTGCTAAGAGCCGCAGGCTGGGCATGCATTGCTCCTCCCCAAGATAGGCTTGGGCAGACTTGGCCTCACTGTTTGGGTTTTTCTATGTTCTCTGTGATGGACTTTCCATTAGGGAGAACTGTCCATTAGGGAAAAGTTTAGGACAGGAGAAAGTAATATTCAGTAAAGAATACAGGAGGGAAGGAATGAAAGAAAAGACACCACACACACACACACACACACACACACACACACACATATGAATAGACGTAGGAAACAGAAACCTAGAAGGATTTAATTTGCTTGCCTTAATTCAATAATAAAAAAGCATGATAATTATAATTCATAATTTTTCTGTACTCCTAACAAGTAAAGCATTATTCTAAGTACTTTTCATTCTTCACAAGAACCCTAAGAGAGAAGTGCAATTTTAAATTCAGTTTTATAGATGAGGAAATTGCAGCATCAAGTCATTAAATAACTTGCCCAAGGTTATATACAGCTAGTAGGTAGAAGACCCAGGACAAATTCAAGTTGTTTAATTGCAAAGCCCTTATTCTAAGTGCTTTTTACCATAAAATAAAAAGATAAAATAGTAATTCTTATCACAATGTGCAGATATGTTGTGAGGATTGCAAATTCTAAAGTTTAATGAAAATAAAATACTAGCTATTATTCATTCGTTGTCTCCAAAAATATTAGAGTATGTACTATGTGCCAGATTCCATGTGAAGTATTGTAATAATGACTTCCCTCTGCTATTGCTCATATTTTATAACATTTTGGCAATTTACGTTCTCTATCCTGCATCATATAGGGAGCTGTGATGGGGAAATTGTTCTGTGGAACAATAGCACAGAAAATGCTCACTATGTCCTTCACCCTGATTACCAGAGGCTGCTAAAATCAAAATCAGGTGAGTGAAAGTCTGAAAGTAAAGTAATGAGGCTGAGTGAAACCGCAGTAGGCCTAGCTGTTTATGCATGTACCTGATGCAGCTTGCTCCTAAATTATAGATGATTGGCTGTAAGAGCAAGGGATTAGTGATATCATTGGTCAAAGTGACTAAAAAGAACCTTGAGAGTTACTTGGTTTAGCAAATTCTCCATGGTATGCCATTCCTTCTCTTTATGCTACATCAGTGTTCCTCAGTCTCTGACAGCAGGGAGCAGATCTCTCATTTCTATCTAGTTTAGATTTTGCCAGGAAACCTTGCCAGATTGCCTTTGAGAGAACATTGGGTACCCCTTGGTAGGAAAATGGAAACTTGTGCTCACTTGATAGGCTGCTCAGGCTCAATCTTGGGCTTCTATTAATATTATGCCACCTGGAAATCTTAAATTATTTCTTGCTTTAGAAACCTGTGAGGAGTGTTAGATGGGAGTAGATTGTATTTTATGGAAGTTTAGCAGAGCACATGAATATTTTATACTTAAGCAAAATGTCTTGACAATTGCCTTTCACATTTTATTTTAGTTTCCTTAGATACCAAAGGTTTTTCCTTAGACTTATTTACTTGGGTAATGAATATGCCATTCCTCATGGCCCAGCGAGGTTCTGATGTCTAATTGGATAAACTCACAGAGGCTGAATTGGACCTTAGGAAAGGAGGTCAACAGATACATCTTTTTTTTTTTTTTTTGTGAAAAGCTGAGGGAGTAATTTGTTAAGAAGTTTAGGGCTTACTTGACTGCAGGCACAAAGTTCTGACCTGCTTTATGTACAAAGAGCTGACCGTCAGGGTTCGTTGGAACCCTCGGTGGACAGGGTGAAACTCTGCCTCTTTCTGTGCATCGGCCTTCTGGGTAGTGTCATCTTGCTCTTTCAACAAACCTAACTGTGGTATGATTAAAAACATGGGAAAGAGATAAGAGAAAAGCTAATAATATCAAATTTCTAAAAGACAGGGGAGGCATTTTTATAGATTTCTTGCTTTGAAAATTTTAAGATATATATTTTTCATAACTATGTGCAGACTATTCACAGATTCTGAAGTGAATTTCCCCAGTTTTTATTCATATGGCTTGGAGATGGTAACATGAGATAATTGAAATACCATTAGGTGTGTCCTGTCCAGCATAACTCACTCACAAATAATGTTGGTAAAAATGACCATTTAAACATTCAAATGGTAATTATATTTCATATTCATTACTTGAAAAATTAATCCCAATGATTAATTAGTTGAAAATAGCAATGATTAATTAGTTGAAAAAATGATTCTAGAATCACGTTTGTCTTGAGCATATCAAGATATCTGTGATGGTAGCAATGACAACAAAATGAAGTCCCTATTAAATCACATAAGGGAAAAAAAACCACAGTAAGTGAGGATGGAATATGCAAGACAAAATGAATCAAACGATGGTTCAGGTTGGGGTTGAAGAAGTGAATAGCAAAAGGCTCAGTGGACGTTGGCTGGAATCCTATTGAGAGACGTGATGGCGTTCTCTGAGAAGTGATGGAGGTGGGCTTGTTGTTTAAGCATTCGTTTGAAAAGCAGATGTTTCTCTTCACTAAGACAACTGACTTTGTCTTCATTACAGATACAGAGCCTCAAAAACTTCTCAGTGCTGGGAGGAGCCACTCCACCCATCCCCTGGCTAACCAAGCTGCTCCGGGAGCCTGTTCCTTTCGGACTGACACTGAGTGCACTAATGCTGTTAGGAGGCTTTGCTTCCTTGAAGCAAGAAAAAACATGGCAGTGACAGGTAAAATATATATTTATATTTCAACTGTTGGTAAAATGTTGGAAAAGGGAACAATAAAGAACATTCAATCTATTTCTATCTGGGTCTTGCAGAGCTTGACTTTGTGTGACTCACAGTCAGGTCTGGGTCAGAGGAGGTCATGGGCCATAGCAAATGAGGTTAGGATCCAGGAGGATGGGTGCAGGAGCAGGAGCCGGACTAGACTGTGCCAGCAATGCGTATAGTATACGTCAGTATCAGATAGAGAAAAATTCTGGCGGACTGTTTGATATGGGCAACAGTTGGAATTGGTATTCCAGCCCTGGCAAAAAGAGGTTTGGTAGGATAGCGGGCACAGCAAGAAATGTGCTCCAAACATGAGCAAAAGCTTAGGTCTACATGTGGCAGAAGAATAGCCTGAGACTGACTACACCAGGCCTTGGTATCAGAATGGGGCAGGAGAAATAAGAAGAAACTTCAAGATTGGGGGCAACTGCAAAATTTGACGTAAGTGCTGATTCCAGGTCAAGAGAGCTACCTCCTGTTTGTCTTTTTTTTTTTTTTTTTGGTGTGTGTGTATTGGGGGTAATATTTGCTAGTTGTGCATACTTTTCAGAATAAGTCATTCCTTTTTAGAGTTTCTGCTGAGATATATGCTAACACTGGTGCTACCATATAATTTTCAGTAGTTATTTGGTATTACATAAGTGAAATAACTGTTTGCTACATTTCCCTTTGTTTTAAATGGCTTTGTTGCATGGTGTTAATGCAGCCTGTGTCTTCCTATAAATAAAAATCTGAATTTGAGAATAATGCATGCTTTTGACCTCTCATCTGTAAAAAAAGAATTGTATTTTAGAAATATTTTTTCTTAACATTAGGAATCATATGTTTGAAAAAGAAATATATCTGGGTCATGTTTTTTCCATATTCACTTTACAGATGGGAAATATGCGTGATTTTCATATAAAAAAATTTAACACTAAGAATCAAATATATACACTTACAGGGTTTTAGAAACATTGTAGAATATTTAGAACAGACTTTGAAATAACTGTATTCTAATACTTTATGTTTTCTAGAACTCCCTTTTACTCACAAAATGAACTATTATCCTGGAATTGCTCTCATTTCTTCAACACTAATTCTTCTTAATGTTATCAGTATTCCCAAATTGTTTCCACTGAAGCAGTTACATACCATTATTTCTACCTTAAACAGATATGACTGTTAATTGTCAGCACATGTGTGAAGCAAATTGGAAGTCATCTACAGATTTATCAAATAATAATAGGAACTTCGCCACAGAAGGATAATTTAGGTTAAGTGCTTCTACAAAGCATGTGAAAGTTGGAAATAAAAAGGTTAGTTCTAGGCCTGTGAACAAAAAATCTGTTTCATGAGGGCTTAACAATGAATTCTTGATGAAAAATTAAAAAGCAAGCTCATAAATAGAACTGCAAGCACCCTGCTACCTGGAGAAGTCCAGGGCTGTACCGATACAGCTGCATATATGCAGCCAGCTCTGTGCTCGAGCAGTTTCACTTCTTTGGTATATGTGTCTAGTGGGTTATGAAGAAGATGGGTTTTGTGTCATTGGAATATCACCAGCATGTTGAAATTAATATTTTACAAGTTTATTTGGAGTAACAAATTAATTCTCTCTAACTTTAAAAATCCAAATAATACCAGAATAATGGAAAAAGGAAAGGTAACTAAATTTAGTGGAGCATGGTACATATCTTATCTTCTTTAATACTCAACCTAAACTAGTGAGATTGTCATCGGGTGTCTCCATTTGATATTTGAGAGAACCAATGCTGGAAATGGATCTCAGGGCTGCTTCCCGCTCCAAATCCATGTGCTTTCCACAGGGCAAGACACTGAAGACCCTGTTTCTGGTGTTTGCTGTCAGTTTCCTAAGTGCGCGCTCTCTTACACATTAGGTGGTACGAACCTGGTGTCATGTGGAGGATCTGGGTATGTCAGATTCTGGGATACATTTAAGAAGCAGCTTCTGGCTGAATTTTTGGCGCATAGTGGAGGCGGATCCATTATTATGTCTACTGATAAGTCAAATCGATACCTTGCCACAGGAGATCTTGATGGATGGTTGAAAATCTGGAATATAGAGGTAAATTGCAAAAAATTCTCAAATCATCTTTTTAAGTTTTGATTACCTTTAGCTTCAGGTAATTATGAATCCAGTCTTGTCTGTTTCTGGGATAAAGGAAGAAGTGATCAGTCTGAGTATTTTAAAGGAAAATGGTTACATGTACTGAGCAGAAACTTTTTAAAAATAATTTATGGGAAAAAAACCTAGATTTTTCTCAATATTGAAAATCTTCTGTTAATTTACAGTCATGTCAATCACCCAATTTAGGAATGCAGTATTCTAAACCTAAAGGCATTGCAACAATGTTTGAGCATAAATAATTAGGATATTTTTTCTTACTCAAAGTGAGACTGTGAATATAATTTAAATAGAATACTGGCCTTTCATCTAACATTATTGTCATCCTGAGTTAGCTTGGGATTTTTGTGTCGCTGATTACCTGCTCAATTTTCTAAACATAAAATTGTATAATATGTGACTACCTATACATGACAAAATTCACCTCTTATCAAATAGCTGACTTTACTGTTTGTTTGTTTTTTCTCTCTATCTTTCTTCTCATCCTCTGTCTTTTCTTTCCAATTCTCAAGTTGGTCAGATCAGTCAGTAATTCTTTTTCGAAAGTTAATGCCATTTTCCTAACCTGTTATCATCAATCATTCTTTTGCATTTGGATCACAGATTACTGTTCCCAGATGCACCTCCTTTTGTTTCCACATCAGATTAAAAAAAAAGTGTTATGTCACTGCAATAATTTAATATTTGGACTTTTTAGAATTTTGGCATTTCTTTTTATTCAGGAGTACTGTCTTAATTCCAGTGAGAGCAAAATCATACAGGCCCCGCCTCTGATAAGATCTCTCCAACCTCATGAAGACCAGATTAGTTCTTTAGAGATATGTGAGCCCGGGGGCCACTTACTGATTATCTCCTCCTCTGCAGACTGCAGTATTTGTGTGACTGATATCAGCAGTGCTCCTGTCTGGATCTTTGGCCAGGTAGAAATATTGCTTCTTAATTACTCTAATATTTACTTGACACTTTAGTATGAACTTGGGCTAATTTCCATTTGAATCTCATTGGCTGTTAGTGTTCATTTCATGAAAGAACCAACTTCCTTGCTGGAGGTGTAAAAGCTCCAGGTGTCTCTTGTACTGTTTACTATTATCCATGCCAGCTCCATTAAGTGGAAGATACTCGACACACAGAAAGATGGTGGCTCTCTGCAGCTCCAAATGTTTCAGGATTTCTGAGAAAAACTTCTCTAAAATCTTTGAATTCCTTCAGTTTCAACATTTAATAAAAATACAATGAGGATAAAATTACCATGTTTTTATTAAACAGATAGATGACTGTCAAGTAATAATGAAGGTGATTATCAAATACAGAAAATTTGGGGAAAAACAAACCTTCCTGTTCATTGCCTGACTTACTCCTGCCAAATAACAATAGCTAGCACTTGGGGAAACAGAGGCACAGAGAGTTTGAGTAAATTGCATGAGTTCGCAGAAGCTGGTAAGCGGTAGATTTTGGCTTTTAACTCAAGCAGGCTCATATCATGCTTTTAACTCCTTCCTCCCATGAAATTATGTTCTGATTTAAACATGCCTGGAAAAAAAAGAAAAAAAGAGAAATGGTAGTTGGGGACGTGGAATAAAGGAAACATTCATTGTCTCAAACTTCTTTTTTCTCTTTGTTTTCATGGTGAAACATATGTTTCTTTGTTCTCTTTTATGGGGAAAAAATAAATACATGCTTCTCGTCCCTCTGTATTTTGGGGGACAGAATATTGATCTGGTTCAACTAGTACTGTGGAAACCTGGTGGTGTGAGGTTACGCTGAGACTTCGCTCTCTGCCTGGCTGGTTGGCTAGGCGCTCCTCAGCAGCCTGCCGCCCCACGCTCCTGCCCTGAGAGGGGGCAGTTCTCTTCTGGCTGGAAAACAAAGTCTGTCGTTCTCTAATTTTGAAGTCAGTTTGATGATGTCAACCTCTGCTGAAAGAATTCTGTACAACCCTGTGGGGCGTGGAGGGTGATGGTAAATCAGAAAATAGCCTGAGATGGGTGCCCACGTTTGGCAGGGTAATGGGGGAGTCTCTGTAACACTCAAGAGCTGTACTGTCTCTTCTGCTCTATAAATAAGGCAAGTGCTAGACTTTTCTCAGTCAAGAAATAGAGCGACGTGTGTGCGGGTCGCCTGCGGTGAATGAAGCAGGGCGGGGCTGGTGGCCCTTGGAGCACAGAAGCAGTAGGAAAGTTGCTCTGGCAGTGGACAGGTTGATGCACCGCCCACGCTGCCCTATGGCCACATGCACGCGCTCTGCAGGTAGCGCAACAGGCAAAGAAACAAAGCGTCATCAAGCAGGTGTTACCTGGAGTGTAAGCGCCTCAGGACTGAAGGGAGAAACATGACGGTGCTAGGTGTGGGTGCCGTGTAAACTGTGCCCACCAAACACAATCTGTAGCTAAATTTTATTTTAATTAGAAGCATGTGCTGGTAAAACTGTTCATTTGTATGCCTTTGATATTTTTCTTTAGCTATTTTGTAAAGTGTTTTGTATTTCAGAGGACTTCAGCCTCTGAAAAACCTGCATGAAAATAGCTTTTTCTTCCCCTTCTGTTGAAGACCGGAAAAGAGCCACCCGAGATGGGATAGTTTTAATAAAGCAAAGGCTGGCGAAGCAGGGGTAGCTGGGCTTTCTCTTACCTTCTGCTTGAGTTTTTTTTTTTTTTAAGGTGTCTTGAATATGAGTGCTGCTAGTCCCAAGGGGTACAGGAGGAGGGCTGGAGGGGAGGGGAGAAAAGGAGAATAAATTAGTAGGTACTGGAAAATAGCAGCAGTGAATGCCCTTCTCATAGTGTGTATGGAGAGACAGCCATTTAGGGAAAGAACAGAAAAATCTGGAAGGCAGATGGTAATACATAGATAATAATAAGGTATCCAATTTATAAACATAACTAAGATAATCAAAACAACTTTTACTGAACAAACTTGATTTGTATAGTGTAATGACTTTTGTCCTACATTTGAATGTTGCATTTGTCTTTTAGTTGAATTAATTCTGGTCTAGCAGTTATAAAAAGAGGAGGAAAAGCAATAACACGTATTTTAATTTTCTACCTTAAGACAATCACATGCAGTCTGATTAAACTATTCAAAATTTAGAGCTATGTGATTCAATATATTTCATGAAAGAAGTTTTTTGAAGAAAAATAACTGAATAATTTTTATAACAGCTATTAATCTGAGGTTGGTTTTCAAATTAGATATTTAATAGGAAGTGGTGCAGTATGTCAATTTCTAGAGTTGAAGAATAGTGGGGATGGTTTATCCGTGGAGATACATTTATCCCTGGAAACTATCAGATGATTGTGGTATAACAAGACATTCAATGCCGGGCACACTTCTTCAGTGCCCCTCTTTAAGCACTAGCCAGGGGTGGGGATTGGTGGAATTTGTATATGGCCCCTCTCCTCCTCCTCATCCAGGGCCCTGTGATGTTGACTGGGCCTATTTACCCTGGTTTAAAACTTGATTTAGTTGCCCATGTTTAACTGTTATAGATTTCATGTAAGATCCACATTTTTTTTGCCCCTCTTGAAAAGGAATATATGTCATTTCCTGAGAATAACTGTAAAACGGGTTCTAATTTAGTGCAAACTCCACCTATCCCTATTGCCAGTGAGCAGAAGGCTGTTTCATTAGCTAGTTATCCGTTCATCCAATGACACTATCTTCCTGATCTGCAGGCATTTCTTTCTGCAAACCCTTCAGGTAAGGTATCAGTTTGTGGGCCGATCAGATATCCAAGAGATGCCTAATGTTTCCCTCAGGTTACACAGGTGCATGCCTGGTGCAGTCCTGGGTATCTGACAGCAACTGATGTATGACAAGGAACTCAGGTCTGCACTTCAAATAGAAAATAGATTGTCAGTGGGAACTTTTGCTAGATTTACACATACTAATTATAGCCAAGGTCTGTGAAAGCAGTAGATGTATATTTTCTGGGGAAAAAATGCTCAATAGTTGGACTGGTTTTTGAGAGTTTCTTTAGTAAATAAGATGCGACGAAAGTAGTTGTATGAAAAACTAACTCGACAATTCTTCAATAAAAGCTTTGTTTTTTCTTTTTAGTAAATATAGATCTTGCTATTCAATATTTTAAAGTGGGAATGTCAATTATTTTATAGTTCATTAGAGAATTTTTGTTTCTCATGGCACTTTCTACCTTTTATTAAACTTACATGCATGTCTCATCTCCCTTGTGTAACTGTAAGTTCCTTAAGGATAGGAAACATGTCTTATTCATTTTTTGTGTGTCCCCAGGACTTCAGTTAGTAGTGTGGCACACAAATGTTCAAGGAAAATAAATTTCATAAAAATAAATCTCTTTGTCTTTTTCAGACAAAGCATTGGCAAATCGAAAAATTTTCCCTTCCTAAAAGAGATACTAATTTAATGGAAAGTGACATTGGAGAAGAAAGCATAAGGGAAATTCCTTTACTTTCTAAGGAGGAATACCATTTAGACCCATTAGAACATCCTCTACTTGATAAGAAAAACAAAGATGACTCCACGTACAACAAGTAAGTATTTAAGTGTTATCCAGATGTGAATTGGAGTCTAGATGAGACCTAGATAAGCGGGCAGCTTCTTTCTGTGCTCTTTGGAATGTCCAGTACCTACCTCAGGATTCCTCTGAAATTTCGGGAATTGGTAGGAGTGTGTGTGGCAAGAGAGAGCTTATGTTCTCAGGGTTATATCTGGTTCTTGTTTCTTGACCCCATTGAATTCTTGATTTCCATTCAGTTTCTTCTAGCCTTTTGCTTCTGCTCCATCATCAACCTAAATGTAGAAATGAACTTCTTTCTCAAAAACAATATATATGTGTGTGTGTACTGTATCTTTCTATCCTAGAATGTATGTCAGATTTTACTCCTGGTTTTGGTAAGGTGCATGAGCTCACCTTTGAACATTGGACATGACCCTCTTTTTAATGCTTCTGGAATGGCCCTGATGCTGTTTGGCCATTTCTTCTCTTCCTGTCACTCTTCTGATCCCATTTTTATACTCCCTGTACTCTCCATGTCAGGCAGTTTTAGTTATTTCTTTGTTTCCTATTCTTTTCTAACCCATGCTCTCATAATTTTACCTTTCATATTAAACAACTATTTTTTTTTGAGAGGAAGGTTTTATTCTTTGTGTTTTATTCTATACAAATGATTTTTTAAAACCGTATGTGTATATTACCTTTTTGGGGTTTATAGAAAAGTTGCACAAAAAGTAGAGCATTCCTCCACATCCCATTCCTACCCTGCATAGTGTCTTGTGTTAGAGTGGTACATTTATTACAACTGGTGAACCAATATTGATACTTTATTATTTGCCAAAGTCTGTAGTTTACATTAAAGGGGTACAGTTGAGGGTTCTTTCATGAACTCTGTGTCGCACATTTCCAAATAAATACACTCTCTGGTCAGTCTCTGTGGCTCCACCCCACTAGCTGGGGTTTCTTCAGCTTTTCTGCTATAGCTCTTCTCACAGGCACAGTTCTCTTGCACAACTCTTGGTTAGCTTCTGCTTGGCTGGTAGGAATCCCATGTGTGCTTGACGTACCACCTGCACCCTGCTTGTCCCTTCTGCTGCTTGCTTTGGTAGTTCTAGCTACAGCTTTTTGCCTACAGACTTTTGTAGGTATTAAAGAGTCATTGGCTTACTATGTTCCTCTAATGGTTATCCCAGGGGTCATACAGGCAAACTTCTTTGACTGGCTTGTGAGTGGAGGCTGGAGCTGAAAGAGAAGCTTCCCTCCCCTCTCACGGGAGTGGGACTCACCACACTCCTGCAAATGCTCTCCTCTCCTCCTTCTTCATATTTTGGTTTGTTTGTATCCACGAATGCTGGTTGGCACCACCATGTCAGTTTGGGAACTACCTCCTCAGCCTGCATAAGATATATAGCCCCACACTTTGAAATGTGGGAATATTTTTACCTCTTAATTAACTATTTTGCTTTCAGACTTTTTGGACCTCTGCTGACAGGGTGATAGAAGAAAAAATTCCCTTTTAAACATCCTGTTATACTAAATTACACTTTGGTATTTGTTCTTCCATTTCCTTGAATTATGGCTTGCTGAAATGTCAAGTGGCATTTTGCTTTCGGGCAGAGGGATCTCTTCAATTAGAAATATAGCATGACCAATCCTGCAAAGTAATAGAATGCGGAGGCTGGAAAGGCCTTAGGTAGGATGAAATGCCCCAACCCAGCTATCCAGTACAATTTTACAGATCAGGGAATAAAGGTACCCCAGGGAAACACAGACAGATCCCTGGTTCTATTCCTGTCGCACTCCTAGAAGAGGGGAGGCAAATGTTAGATGATTCCTATTTAAAAGTATTTCAGCTAATAGTTTAATTTTCCATTTCTTTTGACAAACTCAGTTATTAATTTTTTAATCAGCCTTCCCTTAGATTTAAAAATTGTCAGTTTGAACTGTTCCCTTCTTCCTTGACTTCTCTCCCATCTTACTTCATTTCCCATTGCTCCTCAGTATTTTTTTATATTATGAAAATTAGTGCTGATGCCTTGGTTCTTAAATTCACAGATCCCTCTTAAAAGTAGAGCTTTGTGTTCTGGTGGGTTAAATAAGAGTACATCCGAGCGACTTCTCACCTTAGTTATAAGTTTCTGTAGACCTTGGGAGACATTTCCAGCAATAAGATCAAGGTTATCTCTATTGTATTGCGTCTTTTTATATAACCATACATCAAAAAATATCTATGATCTTTAAAATGTCTGCCTTTATCTGATTCAGATGTCTGGATTGAAATTATTTTAAGACTTTGTGGGAACAAGATATTACAGAATTTGGAGTTACTGAACTAATTGAAAGAAAAAGGTTAAAAAATGTTTCCTCAGAAATGTCTCGGCAGGTCCATCCTTCACGTCTTCCAGGAGCAAGACCAGGAATCCCATGGGGAAAACAAGCAAGGGCATGTAATTGTCAGCTGTAAAATGCCTTTCATGGCCTCTATCCAAACCTGAAGAGATTACAGATCATTTTTCCCTTAAGGGAATAACTATTCCTAATCAGATTAGTAAATCCTAGGAGGGAATCATGCCAGTTCTTGTCCATATGAAAAAAATATGAAAGAAAAATAAGTATGTGAAAGTATTTAGAGAAACTAATGGGGGAAAAGCATATTTGGTGAGTGAGTATGCAGGTGGGGTATTTTTAGATGGAAATAGTAAGAAAGATGGGGAAGTGAAAAGAAAAAGCCAATAGAAAATGGAAAAATGAAGGAAGAACATCAATTGATTTAAAGCTATATTCTTGTCTTAATTCTGGATTCTCTTTCCAGGATAAAAGTCTTGGCATGTTATCTTCTGGCTTATACATAAATATTAGATTTCCATAGTGCTTAAGGTATTTTATAATGTTATATGTGAAAAATAGGTAGGTGGTAAAATGTCACCTTCAATGTAGGTCCTGAGGAGATGAAGTTGAATATAAATTCTATATTCATTCTAAATCCATTATAAGAGTAATAGGAAGTCCTAAAGCTAAATTAACAGTTGCTCCAAAGAAATTCTTTTCTTTAGATTCTGTAAAAATCGAATTAGCATTAGAAAATGAAAAAAAATAGTAAGAAATAAATGAAAAGATAAAATAGGGAACAAAATCACAGGGGAAGCATTTTTCTTAATTTATAGCAATATATGGTTTCTGGTTTCACAAAATTATTCTCATGGAGAAAATTTATGGATAATATGAATAATTTAGACAATATAACCTTGGAATATTTCTTAATTGCAAAAATAATACATGTTCATTAGGGGAAATTATGGAAGTACAAATAAGGAGAAGAAGATGAAAAATCACCTGTGCAAAACCATTGCTAACACTTAGGCATTTCACTGTCAAGGCCTTGTTCCAAGCACATGTAAGCAAATAAGCAAATGTACATTTTATAAAAATAAGGACCTAGGATACATAGTTTATAACCTGTTTTATCACTCAGAAAATATACAGTATGTACATTTCCATGCTGATTATTATAAGTGTTAAAAGGTTAAAGGTCTGTGGGTCATTTTGCTAATTTACTGTCCTGACGTGTGGTCTCCCAGCAGCCCTGAAACAGCTGCCTTAGGGCCAGCCCTGCATGTTGTTGTGTTAAAACTGTTGCCATGATATCTCATCATTGTTTTATATTGGATTTTTGATTATGTGTGAAAATGAACGTTTCACATATTAAGCTTTAACAACTCAATAATAACCTTGGAAGAGGTATTAGGCGTCTACTAGATTAATTCCTATCGCATCCTTAGGAGAAGTTCATCTATTCCTTGAATAATTCCTATGTGATATGCTCCCCTTCTTATAGACAGGCTTCTCTGTTCCTGAACCACTCTTCATTATTGAATGACTCTAATGTTAAGTCATATCTATCCATTTATAGGACTCTGTCTCTTTCACTGATCTTCATTCTTATTCTAGGGCAACAAAGAGCAAGTCTACTCCACTTGCTGTTATCTAACATATTTCCCTTTGCTAACACTTAAAAAGTTGCTTATGGGGAAAGGGTTAATTATTAGAAATGATAATAAAACAATGAGATGGAAAATGAAGCAGAAATTTCCATTAACTTCTCACTAAGTGTGTATAAGGCAGAAGGCACACTGAATACTTTTTAGACATGAGAAATTATTTTGATCTAAATTCCATATTACTGTTAGAAAGGAGCTGATATTTAATATTATTTATATGCTGTTAATTACATGTTAATTACATTATACTGCCAGTAGATTATATGTGAAAAATTAAATTAGATAATTTGTGGACAGCTATAATAAAAAAATATACAAAACATTAAAATATCATTTTAAATCAGGCCTTTTGACATAAATGCTTAGTAATTGATAATGTACTTTTGCCAACAATTTGTGGTAATACCTACCCTATGCACGTGTATATCCTATGCCCATGATAAATGAAAGCAAATGAAAATCTATTCAATGTTTGAAATTTAAGTCTTAAAAATATTAGTACAGCAAAATTACTATTTTTGAAAGTTCCACATTTCCTTACTTTTTGTTTGATCATTCTAATTGTTCCTGGAAATATTAGAACTGGCTGTAGTGGGTATTGGAACTTCCTGCTAGGAGTGAAAAATACTGTTTTTTTCTTGCTTAAAATGATAGTAGTCAATACTTATCGAGGTCTTACCATATTTCATGCACTGTTCTAAGGTCTTTATGTGTTGAACTTATTTAAGTGTCTCTACATTCCTCAAAGATAGCTACAATCATGATTTCATGATTGCATGAAACCATTTCATGACTAGGAGCTAGATTTTTCCTAAAACAACCTGAAATCTTTCCTGCTTTTTGTCCATTTGTTTTCTGGCTCTCTCATCCAGTGGTACTTAAATCAAATATCTTTGTAATAAAACAAAAGACTTTAACGACCTCCACTAAAGACTTTAAAATCCACAGAGGAAAAGAGTTAGACAGAGGGTAGGAGAGAATCTCCTGCCCCTTGGTCTTGGAGTTTATCATTATGTCTCTATTTCCCAGGCAGTTATCTAAGTAATGGAATTTGCTGTGATTCCCAGGAGATTCTCTCCTACCCGCTGTTTTCAGAAAAATCTAGGTCTGGTGGTAACTAGGCCACAGATAGACCTCCTTATCTTTAGGGCTTCCTCAACCTTTTGCACCTCAGTTTATGTAGTACCACTTTTCTGGGGAAAAAAAATGTACTCTTACCCTAACAACTGTAAGGCCTAAGAGCATCATACTGTCCCTTTCTGTATCTACTACCAATTTCCTATTGATATGGAGTCTCTTGCTATCTTAAAATAACTCTCCTAAGGATACCATCATTTTGCCTTCAAAGTCCAGATAGCAGCTAAATAATATGTTCTTATTCATAGGAGATGGCATATTGTGAGGGAGTCCATTCCAGGGTGATTTTGAGGAAAACTACCACCTGCCCTCAGCTCAGTCTTTTGGATGACCAAAGTTTCCTTAAAAAAAAACTATAAAACAAATAATTTATGTAGAATGTCCCCCCAGTCAAGGAAGTAAAGCTTCTTAACTCTCCTCCTCATCCCCCCCGTTAAGTGTGGGCTCTGCTTGGAAAACTTACTTCCAGAGAGTAGTGTACAGAAAAGAAGGGGAAAACTAACTTGACAGTATAGAAACTTGGTGAATACAGCCTTGGCGGGATGATGAGGTCAACAACAACGGTGGCGTCAGGCCAATAGCATGGGCCCTTGATAAGGTGTGCTGAGAACAGCACATTATCTCTGTTGTCTTCCTTCCAACAACCTGGAACGGCCATCCAACCATAAGAAATACATCAGACAAACCCAAATTGAGGGACGTTCTACAGAAAAATCTGACAAATATTCCTCAAAACTATCAAGGTCATGAAAAACAAGGAGAGTCCTAAGACACTGTCACAGGCCAGAGAAAACTGAGTCAGAAAACCTAATGCAATGTGGTATCCTGGGCAGAAAAAGGACATTAGAAAAAAACTAGGAAAATCTTAATGAATATTGAGTTAATGGTAATAAACCAATATTGATTTCTTAATTGTGACAAATGGTAACCTTAGATGTTAACAGTAGGGAAAAGTGGGTGAGGGGTATCCCCGAACTCTTTACTATCTTCACAACTTTTCTATAAATCTCAAACTACTCTAAAATGAAAAGTTCATGTATGTATAAGGAAGCAATCAATAAATTGCTACTTAAAGCTATATAAGGAACATCCAATATGAACTTTGAGATACATAGACTTAATTTCATTTGTATGCATATTTTAGGTTCTTTTGAGTTTGGGAGATACAGTCAAAATATAGCAGAGGTAAAGGAAGGAGGGAAATTAGCATATTTTGAACTATTGTTCATTAGAAATATCACTGAATATTCGTCTGTCTTGATCTCCTTTAAAACAACAGTAAGAATCTTACTGTACATGGTAGTAAGTTGAGGCTGAGAGTATAGGAATCTACAGACCTGGGAATAAAAATTCAGAAGTGGGAGAATAGTAACCATGAGGGGCTAAAGGATGCAAGGAAAACAGGGTGAGGGCAGGCCTCAGGGCTCTCTGTGAAACTGAAAAATGAGTGTTTTTTCTGACCTGATGCTCCCAGGAGAAGCAACACAACTTGTAGCTGTCAAGGTTGACATCCGTGACACTGAATACTAAATATATTTGAGACCATTTTCTGTTTTGTGACTGGAATTATAGACAAGTATATGATGATTTCACTCTCTGTTTTATTGATAAAACTTTCCCTGTGGATTTAAGTGAATCTAAAATTTCTTACAGATTCATATGACAAGCACTCCCCAAACTGAACATTTTTGCATTTTAGAAGCCAAAAGTGAAGATCCAGGCCTAACATTCGATAAAAGAGTTTTTAACACAAAGCATTACTAGCCCGTATAATACACACACAGGGCAAGGATAGTATGTGTTTCTGTAACATTATCTTCTGTATAGCGTGTTCTCTGACCTTCCACTCATTACTGGGACAGGACCTTTGCTTAACTAGCCTCTAGGCCTCTCTGGCTCTACCCTTTTATATCATGTCTTGGCTAGCAGGCATTTTATTCAAAGATATGATCTGGCCAGTATAAACAAATGTCCATACTGAGGTCCACAGGATAGAGATATTTTTTTGAGTAAATAAGATATGCATTATAGCCAGAAAGTGTTTGTTCACCCTTTGTGGTTGATGCCTATTTCATAATGAATTATTTTCTTCCAGAGTCAGGCTATCAGAAGTCATAAACTTAGGTATGAAATATAAGGAAAGAAATGTCTATAAGAAAAAAACAAATAACTTTTACAATGGTGAAGTTACACAAAAATCATCCAGTAAGTAATCACTGTTGATGTATTTTTATAGTGTTCTTATTTTATAGATTGGCATGAATATGACAAATAGCTATTCTATGTGTCAGGAACGTTGGCATTCCTTAACAAATACGTAGGTAAGATCCTGTATTCTCAATTTAACAAAGGAGCAAAATGAGGCTCAGAGACATAAAGTGACTTGTCTAAGACTGCACAGCATACAAGTGGCAAAAGTGTAAGGTCTGAGCTGGAAGACCCATGTCAAGTGTCTACTATAGTTTCCCAAATAGACTTGGCACAGATGTTAATTCTCTCCTTCAAGTGTTTAAGTGATGAAAGTGAGTAAGAACCCTATTTGCACTCTGGAAGTCTGAAGCTACAAAGAAAAATGTATTAATTTAGTTTTGGCTGACCAGAAAAAACAATTATTAAAAAAGTCATTGAAACAAAAGAACTGTTAACATACTGAAGTATATTATTGGGAAGTGTGGTGAAATGAGTCTCGAAGCTTTGTCATATAATGACTATACTTCACTCATTACAAATATGTTTTCAGCTTATGTCTATGGGGAAGCTGCATTTTTGTGGAGTACCTATGTTAATTTTTAGAATTTTTGTTGAACGTTTTGCTGTCAAAAGTTTCATCATTATTTGTTAATACTCAATGCACATTTATAAAATGAATCTACTCCATAGGGTTTTGTGAGGATCACATGAGATAACATAAGTAAAGCACTTAGAACAGTGCCTGTCATATTTTAGAAGCTCAGCACAGTTTTATCAATAATGTTATTGTTATTATTTTTATTCCTTGGAGAATGACCTGTGGAGTGAAACATACTTGAGCCTAAGTCCAAGATCTGTTATTTACCAGCTGTGTAAGTTCAGGCAAATTATTAAAGCATCCTGAGCCCTGATTTCCTTATCTGTCAGAAGGGCACTATGATACTTTACAGGTTTGAAGGTTTCTCCTTTGGTTTGACATAACACATTGGTTCTCAAGGTACGTTCCCTGGCCTAACAGGATCAGCCTCACCTGGAACTTAGACGTGTAAATCCTAAGGTCCCATCTCCAACCTTTCAAGTGAAAAATGGGAGTAGTGCATGGAAGCTGATGCCTTAACAAGCCCTCCAGGTGGTTCTGTTGCCTGATAAAACTTAAGAACCTTTGGCCCAGCACATGTTTTGTCCCATAGCAGGGGCTGAATATGTATTAGTTTACTTTTCTTAGATACCACGCTACCACAATGATAAAAGCATTTTCCGTATTCGCAGAGCCAACGGTCAGGTAAAAATCCTCACTTAGGCTTCTGCAGACTTCTGTTCCATTCTCTATTTATCCCATGAAGCAAAAAGAAAATTTGTCACTTTGTCCACGACTTTGCTTTTAAAGGCATGGTTAAAAGAGTTTTCCTTTCCATCGTTGTGTGCATCATAAATAGAATAACACAGCTCTGGTTAACATTTTGGCAAAATGAAAAAGTACCTGCAAATTCAAAATTTTAGATAGGTTTAAACACTTAAAAAAAAAAGATCCCATCTCACAAAGGATACAATTTTCTTGTAGATAATAGAGAAACTGGAGCTTTTCCAAAGCTGTAGAATACTTGTTTTCAAGGGAAAATAGCAAAAGAATACAAAATAAAAAGTAAATGAATGGGGAGCCTTGAGTTCCTTTTGGTCTCTGAATGAGAGGACCATGGATTTTTCTTGAACAGCTGTGTTTATAGGGTTTGCTGATCACTGCAGCTATACCAGCTGAGTAACAGGAAGGTTAAATTTTAAAAAGTTAGCTTGGAAATGTGCTAGCTCCTTCTGAGGAAATAATGATGCTGTACTTTTTTCCTTCCCTAAAACCTTGCTGTCATGAAGGCGTGTTTAGGTCATTAAGAATTGGAGCCCTAAAGGAGCTGCCTGAAGTGAATAAGCCAGCTTTTCTTCTAACCCCTGAGAAATACTTTAGGGAAGAGCCAGAGGAAGAGGGTCCCCAAATTTCAGAGCTTCCATCACTTTCTGAAAGTAAGTCCTCAGCCATCGTATGCTTCCATCATCTCTTTCTATAAATCAACCAATTACAAATACAGAAGCATGAAGGTCAGATGTGTTTGACTTGTAGGTTGCAGAGAAATGAAGTGTGGTTTGGACTGTTCAGATGTACAGCTTAGCTACTGATCTGTCCTCTCAGAAAGGACAGCTGAAAGGCTGGACTACTTAAAAAGAGTGTTTTTATTTTGTCCCTTTTCTGAAGTCAGAATGCCATGAATATGTATTAATAGTCTGCCATGGATGAAAACCCCTTCCCCCAAATACTCTCAGTTTTCAAAACTCATACCAGGGAAAGAGACATCATAGGACTGCTTTAGAACAGAGTCTCTGAAAATCTGGTTTTGTTCTTTTCATGTGAAACACTATAAATAGAAGCTACTTAGAGTGTATTGTCTTTGAGATGGCCAGCTGCAGAGCCAGGCTAATACGATGAGAGGACAAGAAAGCTTAGCTTACAGAATAGAAGTGAATGATCTCTGAGGATTTGGAAACAAGATGTGCAGAAGAATATTCTATTTTGCAGACTGTTTTAAGTGTCTGAGTTTCTAAGAATTTGAAGAAGAATTTCTGTACAAAAATCTCACTCACGAAGAGGGCCCTATGGGAACACAGGCAGCATAACATGGTTCTCAGTGAGGCATTCTGGAAGCATGTGGATGCTGCAGGAAGTCTTTTAAAATAATTAATGGAAAGTTCAAGTTTTCAACTTGGAACAGTCATAAGATCAGAACTATCTGAGATCTGTGGTTTCTAAACTTTTCAAATCCTCTGAGATGGGGGTTCAACATTATCCTTAACAAATAATAATCCTTGTAGGAGGGAGGTGTTTCTTTACCCACACTTGAAGAAATGTAAGCCTTTCATCTTTGTTTGGTTCCCTAAGGCGAGGCAAGAACAGCTGGTTGACACATTTTTTTGAAATTCTACTTGTAAGCAAGGTACAGCTGTCATTCCTCATTGCCATACTTTCCAGCCTAATTATTATCAGCTTCCCTTGCCACTTCTCAGAGTTTCTCTTTTCTAAGTTTATAAACATTTGTTTGCTTTCATGAGGGTCATCTACAGTTTCTGGTCATTTCTTTTAAAAACATGAATCCGTAAGCTTTAGGGATCTAAATAACCATTAGTGCCTCTGCCTGGGCTTTCAGCTTATCATCCTATATTCTTTTCCCCCCAGGATGATTCATCTCTAGGATAGATATGGGGAGTATTTATCTTGTCTTCCTTAGTCAGCGGTGGAAGAAACCTGGGGAACAGACATTAAGAAAGATCCAGAGAGCCAGGACAAAATGTAAAGACAGTCCAGACACAACATGCCCGCAGGAGGAAACTAAGACCGAGTAAGGCATCAGGCCCGAGGCCAGAGACATGGGCGACAGGGGGTGGGCTTCAGCTGGAGAGCAGGCCAGGGGGAGAGGCCAGACGCGAGCACAGCCTCTCCGCCGCCGCGGGCGCTCCTGCTCCCGTGGGGAGCCATGGACATTCTGCGGTGCGATTCTCCTTCATCTGCAGAGGGTTCTCCTGATGGGCTGGGAGGATGTGTAGGTGGGGAGGTCGGGGGACCACTGGATGGAGTACCTAAAATACCTGAAATACTCTAATACATTTCAAAGAGAATATTTTCTCCTGGATTTTTCTCTATATATACATACATACATATATGTATGTATGCATATATATATATATATTATGTAAAATTTTTCTGTTTTTTTTCCTTTTTATAAAGATGTTTTCTCCTGCTTTTTAAATTTTCTTCTTTAGCTTTAAAAAACAAATGTTAGCAACTTGGGGAGTGATAGATGTAAACTAAACAGTTTACAACAAAATGCCTGACACATGACACTGCAGATGAGGTTCTGTGGAAGCACCAAGAAGAAGCCAGACTAATGCTGGCTGGGTCATAGGGCAGAATTCAGAGTGGAGGGCACATTGAGCCAGGACTCAGGGTGAGTAGGAGTTCAAGTGAGAGAGGAGAAAAGGAAGTCGAGATCCAGGAAATAAGGTGAGGAAAGACACATCAGGGCTGAAGTCCAGGTGCTTAGTTGGCTGTAATAGGTGACTTCAGTTGGTGACAAGTTAACTACTTGACATACATGAATAGAATAGTTTGGGATGGGTTGAGGTGCTGGTTTGCAATTTAGAAATAAAGGTCTAGAGGATGGGAGAGAATTGCAATATGCTCTGCATAGTATGGAGTCTACAACTGGCAGATTTAAATATTTGGCCTTTTCTAAGGTAGATATTAAATGTCTTGTCTGTGCTGGCCCCTGTGCTGGATGCTAGAGACACAGAGCTAGCACATAGAGACCTACCATCAAAGATCTTGAAGACTAGGTGGGAAAATAGACAGATATGGACATAAATAATTATGTTTTACAAAGGCTGTCATGGAGAAAAGCTCTGGGTACTGTGGGACCACACTGAGATTCGTATATATGGTTTTTCAGGGAAACCAAGTTATGCCAAAGCTGGATATTAAAACTTAAGTTGATATTAGATAAGAAAAAAGGAGGATGATAATCCTGCCAAAGAGTAGCATATGCAAACATAAGGTGGTGTGAGTAACATGGTGTGCTAAGGGCTACATGTAATTACAAACAGCTGGGCTCTAGAAAGAGCGTGATGAGAATTAAGGCTAGACAGGTACATGGGAATTAGATCACAGAGCACCTACTGTGCTATGCTAAGGACTTTGGCATTTATTTTACCAGAAATGAGAAGCCATTGGAATGTTTCAATCAAGTATTCTGAATTATCCCATTTTATCTCCTCTATTAATTATTCAGTTTCTACATCTCTGTATTATTCTTTCAGTGATTTTTTCTAGAGGTTACAATACCCTGTCCTGGGCTCTTTATTCCTTCTTGTGGTACCAGGCTTCCATCTGAGTTTATTTGCTTTCAGTCTAAGGAACTTGGTGCTTCATGCAGTATTTCTTATAACGTACACCTGCTGATAAATGACTTCCCGAGCTTCTGTATGTCTGAAAGATGTGTTATTTCATTTGACTTTGGAAAGGTATTTTCACTGGACTTTAAACTCTGGATTTTTTTTCTTTCAGCTCTTTAAAGATAGCATCTTGCTCCCCATATATTCCTGTTTAAAATATAGCTCTTAATATTACTGATGCTTCTTTGAATGTTATATTCCCCCAATTTTTTCTGGCTGCTTTAAAATTTTTATCTTTATCCTTAGTTTTCAACAGTTTTATTATGAAGGGTGTAAGAACATTTCTCTCTGTAGTTATGCTCTTTGGGGTTGTAGGAATTCTTGAATACGTCTTTCTTCAATTTTGGACAATTCTCAGCTGTTATCTTTTCAAATACTTTTCTTCCAGGACCACTCTCCTGTCCTTCTGGGATAACAATTACACATATGCTCTACTTACATTATATCATAAATGTATCATATGTTCTTCTAATTTTATTTTTCTCTCCAGACTTCATTTTGGATATTTTTATTGACTTCTCTTTATATTTGCTAATTCTGTCTTTTGCCAGTCTGCTTTTAAATTCATGTAATCAGTTTCCAATTTCGGATTTTATATATATACTCTATATATTATATATACTATATATTTTGTATCTGAGCAGTTTCATATTTTTTGCATATGTATAATATATATATAAATTTTATATATATATATTTTTCAGTTCTAGAACGCCATTTGAATCTCTGTTATATAGATTTTAATTCTATCGGAATTACATGTTTTCATCCATTTTGTCCAAATTTTTTCTCTGTTTTCCTTAATGTATTTATAATAGTAATTTTAAAGTCCTGGTCCACTACCATCAATATCTGGATAATCCTTGGGTCTGCTTCTAAAGTCTATTTTTTTCCTGTGGTTATTGGTCACATTTTCCTTTACAAGACCTATAATTTTTGTGCACTCTTCTATTGTATGACAGAAATTATGTATAAAAGATCTAGAGACACTGGAATTAACATTATTTTCTCTAGAGGTAGTTCACCCTTTCCTTAGAGAGCGTGAGGGGGTGGGTCATGTTAATCCAGTTAGGCATTGAGCTTGGTCAGTGCTGGATTACAGCTTTAGTTAGACTTAGTCTACTTCTGATTTCGATGTCTGTTTTAGGCATCTCCCTTTAGACGGATATCATTTCCTAAGTAATACAAGACTGCAGGAAACATTGCTAGGCCTCTTCTGTCCCATGCACAGTCTCCCCACCACCCCAGCACTCAGGACATGTGCTATGGGGAAAACTGGTTATAGTTAGGGAATTTCTCTCAATTCCAATACATCTCACCAACCCACAAAGTCATCAAAATTTCTTCTGATTTTACTTTCCATCTATGGCAAGCCTGTTTCTTTGCAATGCCCAGACATGATAAATTCCTAGAAGGAAGAAAACATTTGTCAATCTCACCTATTCTTAGAAGGGTTCTACCATCACTGGAATTTTAAGTTGATAATCTTTGCTTTCATAGCTCTCTGATGGCTTTAAAAAATAATTTCCTTTATTTACCTCTTTAAAAATTGTTTTCTATCTGGTGTAGCAAGAAGGATGGCCTACCCTACCTATTAAATCCTACCCAGAAAGAAAATTCCTGTTGAAATGTTTAAATAAGGAAAGTGAAATGAACAGGTTTGCATTATAGAAAGCTTTCTGGAAACTGTTGTGGATGCATTATAAGGGGACTGAAGGTGGCATATTATATAGTAGTGAGAAATTGTTTGCAACCAGCTACTCGCTTTTGAATCCTCACTTTGTCTTCTGTTGTTTGTTTATAGCTGCATAAATTACATAAGCTTCTAAATCTCAGTTTTCTTACCTGTAAAATAGAGCTAATGATAACTACTTCTTGGAGTTTTGTGGGCTGATTTTAGGCAATTATTGGCATATACTAAACATTCATTAAATGGCATATATTATTACTTTAAGGAGATCCTAGAAAGGAAGTAACTAATTTGAGAAATGTTAAGGAGATATGAGTTAAAGGATCATGTGCCC